TCAAAAGCATGAATATTTTTCCTATCCTGTTTCTTCAGAGTCCAACTTTCACTTCCACAGAGTGTCACAGGGAAACATTCTGATCCCAATAGAAGAGAATATATGTAGCTCAGAGTTGAACTATGGAGTCCTTGGCGCTCTCTGAGTTTGGTTGTTTGCTTACAAATGTTTTATTACCTGACTAGGTAACAGCATCAATGCTAGTGAGTGTGGGGTTTGCTTCCTGTTTATATACAGTAGCTTGCCCTGCCGTGTTAGTGGGGGTGTGGTTTTCTCCTTGGTAGTTCCTTGATGAGTATTGTTTTCTGCTTGACTGTGTGTCTGGTGTTAATCCCTGCTTATCTGGGTGTTGGCTGCTGGAGAGGATGTGTTCTAGTCTTTTTTGTTTCCTTCTTAGCTTTTTATTGTCTCTTTTGAATGGTGTGTAAATTTGATTTATTTCTATGTGTCTATTGATGGCTGATTTGTCTGAATGTCAAGTTTCCAGGACTTCTCTAGGGTTTTTGGATTTTGCTTGGTCTAGGATGCTCACAGTCTCCCAGTTGAAACTGTGGTTAAGTCTGTCCATGTGTTGTGAAATTAAGGAGTTTTCACTGTATCATCTGACTGCTAGTTGGTGTTCATGGATGCGCTCTGCTAGTCTTCTGCCTGTCTGTCTTAAATAGTGGCTGTTTCAGTTACTGTTGTAGATGACCTCTGTTCTTTCTTCTTGGGCTACTGGTTTTTTCATTTACTTAAGGTGTTTTGGAGGGGTTTAGTCGGTTTGTGTGCTACAGTGATGCCATGTGGTTGTAATAGTCTGTTGGTTGTTTCTAAGATGTTTTTGATGTATGGTAGTGTTATCCTTTTCATAGCTTGTGTTGGTTGTGCTGTAGTGGATTGAGTGGTCAGGCACGTTTTGATAAAGCTGCATGGGTATCCATTTTGTTGGAAGATGTTGTATAGGTGGTCTGATTCCTTTTTCTGGTGTTCCAGGTTGCTGCAGTGTGTTTGTACTCATCTGAATAATGTTCTTACACAGCTCTGCTTGCGGGAGGTTGGGTTGTTACTTTGGTAATGGAGCACTTGGTTATTGTGAGTTGTTTTTCAATAGACTTGTGTTTCTAATTTGCCGTTGTTTCCTCTGACAATGAGGATATCTAGGAAGGGTAGTGTATTGTTGTTTTCTTCTTCCCTTGGGAATTTTATTCCTTTGAAGATGTTGTTGATTGTTTCATGTGTCTTCTCTAGTTGTACCTTTTTTATTATGACAATGTTGTCATCTACATGCTGGATCCATACTTTTAGTTGTATGTGTGGGAATGCTATAGTTTCTAGATGCTGCATTATGGTCTCTGCTATGAGTCCTAAGAGTGATGATCCCATGGGTGTTCCTCTGAATTGTTGGTATATTTGTCCATCAAACTGAAAGTAGGTAGTGAGGCAGAGGTTGATGAGGTCCATGATTCTTGTTTGATCTTAGTGTATTTAGCTAGGTCAGGTGTGTTGGGTAGCACTGCTGCCATGGATTCTTTCACTAGTTCTGAATCTATGGACGTGAAGAGTGCTGTGACATCAAATGAAACCATAACCCAGATAAACAGGGATTAACACCAGACTATCAATCTGTTTTGCCATGTTCTGCCCAGACTGTGGCTTTCTGTCCTGCATATAGGTTTTGCATGAGGCCAGTGATATATTCTGGAATTCTCATTTTTCTACAGACATTCCACAGCTTGACATGGTTGATAAAATCAAAGGTCTTTCAGTAATCAATAAAACATATGTTGACTTCTTTTTGCCATTCCTTGGCTTTCTCAATTATCCAGCATGCATCAGCAATAATGTCACTTGTTCCTCAGCCTTTTCTAAAACCAACTTGATTGTCTGGCATCTCCCTTTCCATGTAAGGCTCTAATCCTAAACATTATTTTGCTAGCAAGTGAAATTAAGGATATTGTGTGATAATCTGCATGATCTGTTAAATCTCCTTTCTTTGGTATTGGTATCTAGACTGACCTCTTTCAATCTCATGGCCACTGGGTTGTTCTTTAGATTTGCTGGCATAATTTGGTTAGAACCTTTACTGATTCTTCTTCTGTAGCTTGCCATATTTTTGACTTGGTAATGACCAGAATGTTGATCTAAGTTCATCTTCTAGCACTAGAGTTTCTTGAAAATAGATAATATCTTCTAAAGTATTGTAATGATATGTGGGAATGACCTTGGAGTCAGGGAAGACCCATGGCCAGGGGAACAGTCAAATAAGAGGCAACTTAGCCCGCAGCAGGAATGTGGGCATGGCACATGTCTCAGAAGGGACCCTCTGTAGTTTCTTGGGCTGTAAAGGCAGTGGGGGAGAAATGTACTTTCAGACATGCAAGATTCTGTTAATGTAACCTTACAATAAAGTATAATTAGTTCATCTGGGCATGCTTCTTGTCTGGACTACCTTGCAAGGCTGATAGGTATCTTGGATGTTGACATTTCTATTGTACAAAAGTTCAGCATATTTCTCTCTTTGCTTGACATTCTTTGAATCAGTTATAATCTGTCCACTGGCATCCTTTAGCATACCAGTTCAAGATTGGAACCTCCTTCTCAGTTTGGAAATCTTTTGGAAGACTTCCTTGTTTTTCCATGTCTTTTAGTGATGTCATTGAATACTGCTTCTTGTCTCTGAAATTCTTTAAGGTCCTTCCTGAGATCCTTGTCTTCTTTCTTGGCAATTTCTACTGTCCATTCTAGCATCCAGTTTGCTTTCTTTTGTTTCTTTGTCTTTGGCAGTCTCTTTTAACATTCATCCTTAACAACTCCCTTGATTTTATTTCACACAAAGTTCAGAACTTCACAGTAATTCCTGATGTTCTTGAAAATGATGGGCATTTGCTCAAGATCATATCACAGAAAGTGGTTGGATTTGTTTTTCCATTTTAGCTTGACTTGAACTTGCATATGAGCAATTCATGATCTGTTCCACAGTCAGTCCCTAGCCATGTCTTTGCTGAGCTCTTCTACTTCCTTCTACCAATAATATAGTCAGTTTGATATTTGTGTGCTTCCTCTGGTGATATCCATGTTTATAGGCATTGTTTTGGTTGTTTGAAGAATGTATTAGCAATGAAGAAATAATTGGCTTGGCAGAAACTCGTAAGTCATTCTCCTGCTTTATTTCTGTTTCCTAGGCCATACGGTCCAACTACATTTTCCTCATTACTATTTCCAACTTCAGCATTCCAGTGTTTAACCTCCAGCAACACATCTTGCCTGCATGTTCTGTCAATTTCAGTTTGAACTTGACCATAAAACTTATCAACCTCCTCTTTGGATTCAATGATTGGACCATCAGCTTGGATAACCATCATATTAAAGGGTTGTCCATGAAGTTTAACTGTTATTATTAGTCAGTGTTTGCATTGTACCCAAGTCCTGTCTTTGCTATATCCTTCCTCACTATGAAAGCAATGCTGTTCCTTATTTTTTGTGTCCTTAGTAAACAGTATGATCTGACTGAAAATGTCCAATTTCAGTCCTTTTCGATTTGCTGATGCCTAAGATATTAATGAGTAGTCAATTCACTTCATATTTCATTGGGCTGAGTATTCTTATGTTCATGTTTCTTATATTCTATGTTCATAATCTATTTCTACTGCTTCAGATTTTTTTTAACCTCCACAGAAGCAATAGTAACTCGACATCCTAAAGGCTTTAATCTAGATGCCTCAAAAACGCCATTAATATTCTGAAAGATCCTCAGCTTTTCCTCAATATCACATTGAGTGCCATTCAACTTGAGGGGCCCATTATCCAGCACTATGTCATCAATCACTTTACCTTTTCTATCTATGTGGTTTTCTTGGTAAAATACAGGAGTGGTTTACCATTGCCTTTTCCCACACAGTATGCCATCGTCACTAAAATCCATCTCCAACATCTTCCTATATTGCTGCTGCCATTATAGATGCTGTTTACTTTAGCTGGCCAGTTGAGATGGGGGGAGATAATAATTTACATCTGGCTTGCTTATGAGACCTATGCCCCCCCCCCCTTACTGGTATAAATAAAGCTGTTTGGGATGGAAATGTGGGTTTTTTGGAGCATAGCTCTGTTCTCATAAGAGCTGAATAACTGCTCCCTTTTGAGAAAGCAGATACTAAAGCCCAGTGTTCCGGTTTCAAGAGGATATTTATTCCTTCACTTCAAAGTAGTGCTCCCTACAACCTCCTCTCCCTATAAGTAATCTGCACTTCATTTTGGTTTTCTTTCAGTTTCTTTATTTCTATATTTACTGTTTCAGAATGTTTGTCTGTCTTCGTCCTTCTTTCTGCCTCTTCTGCTGAGCAGGGGCACCTGGGCCGTCATCCTCTATTAAGGTCTTTTAACCATTTATGTTTTAATTTTAGCTCCTTTGGAGCAGTTTTGATGTCTTTGTGATCCCCCAGTACTTGTCTTGCTGTTACTGTCTTGTCTTTTTCAAGGATGACGGCCTTTTCTGCCCCCATTCCAACATACCTTTTGTCCCTTTCACACCCAGAGGTCTCCTGGAAATCACTTTGGAGTTAAAAGTGACAGGAATGAACTCTTGTTCCTCAATTTCTAAACTATTTTGGCCAAAACCTAAAATCTGCAAAGACCTAAAATCTGCCCATCCTTCCTTTAAAGGTCAGACATGTATGTGACCTTGTGCAGAGGCTGCCCGCATAATTGGCAAAATCAAAAGTTTCATTCCTTGGGTGAGAGGAGTTGCTTACTTACCAACATGAAATTCCTGTGAGCAGCTAGTTGGCACTCTTCCTGGCTTGCCCTATCCAAGATTGGGAGTGGGGATCTAATCTAATGAAAGCCCATGACTGATTATTTAAGTCATTTAAGCCCATGACTGATTATTGGTTTCTTCTTCTTGCCCTTATCAAAAGTTCTCCCATCAAACATCCCTGATTCTTTTTCTTCGCTGTTGAGATAAGTGGGAAGATGCCCTGACTCCCTCTCTGCTTTCCTTCCCTCCTCCAAAATCTGCGTAGATCCTGAGAGGACTAGCGCCCACATGATCTCAGCAGATGATGCAGAATATCCACGGGAATACCGGACCCTGGGCAACGGCACACGCCGCTTCTCCAACGTAGGGTTGGTGCACACCTCAGAACGTCGTCACACTGTCATTGCTGCCCAGAGTCTAGAAGCCCTCACAGGGCTCCAGAAATCTGAGATGGAACGCAAGAGGGATGCATTCATGGACCACTTGAAGAGCAAATACCCACAGCATGCCTTAGCAATTCGAGGACAGCAGGACAGGATCCGGGACCAGGTAAGAGCGGCCTTTCTCTATCACAAAAAATACTTTTCTCCTGACAAGTATAGGACGTAATCCACTCCTGATAGGTTTTCAGCCAATGTTTCCCCTAGACCAGTGTTTCTCAACCTTGGCAACTTTAAGATGTGTGGACTTCAACTCCAAGAATTTACTTGCCAGCATGCCAAGGTTGAGAAACATTGCCCTAGACCAAAACCAAACTGGGAATGTAATTTGGTTGTTTTCTTGTATATACAGTGTTCTCTTCCTGTTTCCTTAAAGCCCGAGTTTCTTGAGATGGCATGTTTCTGACAATGGTGTGAAATTTTTTTTTGCAATAACTAAGGTCCCAGACTCTTCATTTCCAGAAGTTATCTATATATTACAGATTTAAGTACATTTCAGATTTGTATATTCTTGGGATTATATATTATAGTCTTTATGAAGGCATTGTCAATATCTAATAATTCTGAAGCGCTCTCATGAATTTATGTTTTCCCAGATTTTTTTTTTTTTTTTTGGAAGAAACTACTAGAGCTAATCATTTCAGACTGATAGTGTAGCTAT